ATCCCACCCCTGCCAACCCTCTCCTGCCAGCCCGCCTGCCCTCCTGAGGAGAGAGGTTTGGCAGGCCCCACGGCCCAGGCCATCCTCGGCGGCTGCCCACAAGAAAGCCCCAACAAACACTGGCCGAGATGGCTGCAGGATGAGCTGTCCCCACATCCCTCTCCCCAGAAGCATCCGCAAAGGAGACCCTGGCTGGACCAGGCTGAGGTGCCACCTTCCAGGTGTGGGCACTGCCCGGGTTCAGCCTGACGCAGCCCACTCCATGGCCTCAACTGAAGCCCCTGCCACCCTGGGCACTGTCCCTAGCTCAGCTGCAGCCTGGCTCTTGCTTTTTATTATCCGGATTCAATAACAGCAAGCAGCTCCGAGCTGCCCGGGCTCCTGGGAGGCGACGTGCCGTCCGCTAACAGAGCCGAGAAATCAAATTAGCCCCGGCGCTGCACTCGCTCTCTGCCTGACATGGCTATTGGCAGCTGAGGGGGAGTTCATCAGGGCCTCGCACTAATTCTTATCTCGTTTAAGTGACTCCACGCTGCCAGATGATGCAATTTGCACTGGGCTGCGGCCGAGGGCTCCGATTCCTGCCTATCTGTTTTGCCATCAGTTCCATTAATAGGAAATTTCTTCAGGGAGAGCTTGATTGCTGCGCTGTCCGTGAGCCAAAAAGAGAGAGAAAGGAAGAAAAAGCCCCTGCGATGAATCTCGCCTGCAGGTCCTGCCACCCCGGCCTGCTCCCTTCAATTAGAGAGTCTCAGAGGAGCCCTGTGTCCGGACGCTCACCCAGAAGCGTGGAATTGAAGTGAGAAAGACTCATCCAAGTCCAGGCTGGTGCCAGGAGAGTGAAGTCATCCCTAATGGATGGGGTGCAGCTGCCTGGGCCCTGCCTCCTCCAGGAAAGACGCGGGCCCTGCCCTGACCTGGCTGCAGGGTGCCCCGCTGTCCGGCACCCCACATACGTCTGAATTAAACAACACCCTCAAAGGCAAATGTCTGCAAGCACGGCAGCAGGGAGACACCCTTCCTGTCATACCAGGAGTGGTCCCCCTCCTCCACCGGCTAGCTGCTTTCTGGTTGTAATAGCAAAAGGGGCTTCAGTACCTGGGTTTTGCATTGGCCAGCCCTAGAGATTTGCTGGTGGGTTTTCTAATACTGGTGCTTCCCAGTGTCTGAAATGAGCAGCTGTTTTGGGGGAACCTCTGTTTTCATGGGCTCGTGGTGCAGAACCGACAGTGCATGCCGGGGGAATGGGTCTGTCCCAAGGCCATGAGATGGTCAACAATAAAACATGGTTACTTACTTCCAGCACTGGTGGTTGGGAGTCCAGGATGGAGGCTCTTTAGTGCTCCTGAAATGCCACCATCCAAACAGCAACCAGAGTCCAAGAATCACAGGGCTGGAAGGGACCCCAGGAGCCGTCTAGTGCAGCCCCCTTTTCCAAACACAGGTGAGCTGTTCCCAGTCCATCCCAGATAAACGTCTACCAGCCTCTCCTTCGACCTTGCAGGGAAGGAGAGTCCCTGGCTTCTCTGGGCACCCTTTTGCTGTTCTGAGAGTTAGAAAGTTGCTCCTGCGATTCGATCTCTATCTGCCTTGCTGCAGTTTGAACTCACCTCTCTGTCCTGCCCTCCGTGGCAAGGGAGAAGAGCCATTCTTCTATTGTGGCAGCTTTTCAAATAGTGGGAAACTGCTGTCATGTCTCTCCTTCATCTTTGTTCCTCATCCTCACCACCTGGCCTCCTGCATTTTGCTTTCCAACTTCTTTATTACTCACCTCTGGATCCTCCTGTTTCTCTACATCCTTCTTCAAACCGGAGGCCCAGAGCTGCACACCATACTCCAGAAGACGCCCAAACAGCACCGCGCTGAGTGGTACTCTCACCACCCATGCCTTGCATTCAAGGACAGCCCCAGACTGCATTTTTGCAACCGTATCACATCCCTGGCTCCTGCTGAGTCCATGACCCACCAAAAGCCCCAGATCCTCCTCAGCCCTGCTACCACCCAGCCCATGAGCTCCCGTTCCACATTTGGTTTTTCTCCCCTGCGTGTCGTGCCTTGCATTTGTCTTTGCTGAACTCAAACAGAAAGCACACTGCTAGGCCTATCAAATGGGATCCATAAATAATCACAACCCCGAACAGCTTCTACAAACCCAACTATCCCAGGGAACAGCCAAGCCACATTTGGGTCTCTCTCTCTAATGATGCCAGACTGAGTCTCATTTAAGATCTTACTGCTTTGATGCCTCTTGATTATTTATAAAGCAAACAAACACATCCAATGTCATCGATCAATCTCTGTCATTTGCTGGTCACGCTCTGTGTATCATGGCATCGCACTGTTCATCAATACTCGTGCTTTGCCTTTTGGAACCAACCCTTGGACTTTGGATGGTAATTTCTGTGTGAACCGTGTAGCACCGCCACCCCCAAGAAAAGCTCCAAGAAGAGAAACAAAACCCTCTCCACCCTACCAGGTTAAATGATAAATGTCAGCACGGACAAGGAGACAGGCTGAGGGATTAAGAACGATAGGCAAAAATGGAAAAAGAAGTTTTCAGCTCTAGTTGGAAATGCAGTGAAAGGCCTGATTCTCCGACCGCTGTCATGAGTGCAAATCTGAATGAAAAGGGACTCTGGAGAAGCCCTTGGAGTGAAACTGGTGTTGGAGGTTGGTCTAAGAGGAGAACAAGCCCAAGGGGCAGGGAAGATAGACAGAGAGAGCAGCAAAGACGGTTCTCACATGAGCTGTGATGAAAGGACCTACCAGGGCTAGGCGAGTAAAACTCAGATCCCTTCTGGCAGCTGCATGGTGTCCGGGGGGAGAAAAAGCAAAAGAAATGCTTTTGCTTTAATTTTTTTTCATGGATATTTCACATCTTGCCAAAAAAAGTTTCAATTCAAACAGGAACAAAAACCTGTTAAACTGTATTTCTGTCCTCTGCTCCCTCCCCCATTCTGCCATGCTGCGAAAGGTAGAAAACTCATAACACTGAATACCAACCCATTGCCTCCTCCCAAGGCTCTCCTTTTGTTCCAGTTTGGATCGAACTGGGACGTTCAGGTTGCAATCAGAAAGCTGCTGTTTGGTTTTGTTTTTTGGCTTTGTAACAATGAAAGATGGAAAACTTGAAAGCATGTAGACATTTCCCAGGGGACTCAACACATCAGAGCAGAAAACATTTAGGGCGCATCTCTATCTATAGCCTATTTCAATACATGTTAAAATGTCACTTAAAAAAACCACACTCTTTAGTTAATGTGCATTAAAATAGGCTGACATGCATTAAAGTGTCACTAAAAACTGTGCTCTTTAGTTAATGTGCATTAATATAGGTTAATGCACATTTTCTTAGCATCTCACAATGGAGGTACTAGATTTAATGTGCATTAACTAAAGCACATCACTGCATGTGTAGATGCACCCTTGGGGAGCAGAGGCTTCCCTAGTGCAGCTGCCTGCTCAGACCCTCTCCAGTCTCAACCTCAGCACAGCCTCACTTGCATCTTCTTCTTCTTTCCCCTCCCTCTTCTTTCCATCTCACCACCCTGTAGAGGAAGTAAACTCTCCCCCTCCTTTCCCTTCATATCAAGCCTCCTCTCAGTTAGACTGCAAACTTTTGGGGACAGGAACTACCTACTAGCCTGTGTTTGTACAATGCAAACCTCAACCTCAGTGGGGCCCTGTTCCTGGCTGGCCCCAAGGCACTAACACGAGAAACACTCTCCACCATGGTTAGCAGCAACAATGGTGCATAATTCTCTGGCCAGTTAAAACACATGGCACGTTTCAGTACAAAAAAACAAGCCAAGACACTGTTCAATAAAATAGGGCCCGTGGTTCTAGCACGGCCTCCTCTCTGTTTACCTAAAAAGAAAAAAAATACCAATTAAAAATAACCTGACCGTTGTTATAACCTCAACCTTCTTGGCCTCGAAGTCCCTCCATAGTTTTCGTGAATTAAATGGCATTCAGCTGCAAAATCTAATGGTTATTTAAAGTGCTTATTGCCTTGCAGAGGGGCTGTTTGTGGGGGGAATTATTCAGGCAGGGAGAAGCTGGAGCCTGCATTTATCTACTTAGCTTATCTGCTCATCTGCTCACACCTCACAACACCCTTCAAAGGATCTGGCGGCACCCCAGCACCCTGGATGAGAATCACTGATCTAGACACACACACACTGGAAATGGGGAGAAAAACCGGAAGTTATGACCGACGCAGCTATTGCAATCAGCAGAATTGCATCAACGTAGCCTGTGCTGAATGCGGGCGAGCGCATGAAAGTCAGGCGCCGACAAGCAGATATTTAACTGAACGGTGATGGTTGCAATATGAGTAAGCCACTAACTGGTCCCGCAGTCCTCACCATGTGTAACAGAGACATATTTGTGCAGCGATGTTTTAATAGAGCCCACTGCTGGGATTTTCACTCTGTTTCCATACCACACATTAACAAAGCCATAGATAGCATTACTTATGCCCACTAAATTTCCATCTCGCCATCAGAGGCTCCTGTTTATTGCAAGGACAGGCTGCGAGAACACAATCACAGACGCGCCATCCTCAGCAGCTCTGTCTGACACAGCTTTTAAGCAGGACTCGGGTAACAAATTGTTTCCCAGGTCAGCCTCGCAGAGACACAACAGTGCCCTCCCTGGCTGGGGAGAGGCTGAGAGGCACGGAGCATTTGTCTGGGACCACACGGCGTGACATCAGTCAGGGTGGGTGGGTTGCTCTTCTATCCTCCCAGCCTGAAACTTGATGCAGCAGAGGCGACTGATTGCAAGATTAATTAGGCATTTTCAGAACCCTGACAGTCGGGGGAAAGCGAACAAAAAGTGCTGCCTGCTTCCCGGACGAGGTTCACTTCATCTGCAGCAGGAAGGCTGGAGAGAGTGCAAAGGGAGTGACCACGGACAAGAGCCAGGAGACTCGCCTGCATGTGGAATAGCTAAGCCAGTGCCTGGGACCTGCGGAACCAGCACCACTGACATCGACCATGGTGCTCTCGGCTTGGTGGGCATTGCTCACCCTGGCCCTGGCTGCCTTCGAGCTGCAGAGTGAAGGTAAGGAAACTTGCGGCAAAGTTGAGGGAGTGTTTGCAGGGGCCGGGAGATGGGGATAGTTGCTTGCACCTGGCCCTGGGGGCTTTTCTGGGTGTATTTCATGCAGGAGATTTTTTTCCCCCAAAAGCATCAGTGTTAACACTAATAGGCTGTGCACCTGCTCGCCTGGCAGCACAGCGAGGGCACGGGGATTTACACACCAGCTTGAGACCTGTCAACCAAATGCTTGAACTCGGTGCTCAGGTTTGTCCCCTCGTGCTTTGTGCATTGTAGAGCTGGACTGAGCTCTGTGGATGGCAGCGCACAGACAGCTGCTGCTGCAAGGACTCTCCCTGCTCAGCACAGATCTGCACTGCCAACAACCGCAAGGAATCTCACTTCTCGCCATACCACTTTCGGCACCAGCGGGAGGGGACCCAGGGGCCGGCAGAGCCCAGCAGTACCAGCGGGCACGTGTCTGGGGTCTGGCCCTGCTCCTGGCACGTTACATGCTCTCCTTTGCTGGGGGGGCCTGCCTCTGAAGCTTTGTGCAATGATCTAGCATTAGAGAGAGGCTACTCACAAGGAGACAAAGCCATCATTCACTTGTCAGGGGGCAAAATCTCCCCGTGTGTCAATCAGTGCAGTGCCACAAGTGATTGCACCAGCTGAGCTTCTGGGGTTGGGGGTGAGGGGCTGGCATAAAACCCCGTTAGGGGACCAGCATCAGCAGTGATCTTTGTGCCACAGCTTGACAAGCTCCTACTGGGAATGGTGTGACCAGAGGATGTGCTCAGCATCTGAGCACAGGGCCCTTCCAGCTCCAGCACGCTCCTGGCTCAGTAATGGAGCTGCTCCATGCACAGCTCCCCTTCCCAGAGACCCACGCTGCATGCTGCAGCCCCCACCCTGCACATTGGGCAGCTGCCGCTGGCTCCCCACAGACTCTGCACCTCTCCGGTGCACGCAGGAACCACAGAAACCACTGGGACCTCTGCAGCAGCAGGCGCATGTCCCAGGCCTTTCCATCTTTTGATTTTTTCCTTTCAAGCTGCCTTCTCTGGGTTCCCCCACCCTCGCGTGCCGAGCCAGGAGGCTGCAATTTCCATTCTGTACATACACAGGCCAGATCCCATGAGCCCAGAAATCCCTTCCTGCTAAGTAATAATTATCTGTCACTTGAGAACCGGGTGAACACGAGGCACTTATTATCCACCTCCACCATTCAGCCAAGCCCATTAAGGCCAGGCTAAGGCACTGGGCCACTTTCTATCCAACACCTCCCCATCTCTGCTCTCTGTGTGCCAGTGCCACAGCCTTTCAAAATCCAGGGGTGAACAGACAGACCTGGGAGCAAAGGAAACACCAAGAGATGTGGACTGGACCTCAGTGGGAGCTTGAAAGGAAAAAGCAATCCTCTACTTTCATGTTGTGGGCCTGTTTGTACACACACGCCATGCGGTGCATCACTGCACACCTCTTCCTAATTTAAAACAGCCATGTTTTACTTAAAAAGCAAGTCAGCTTCAGAAAAAAAAAAACTCTATTTTAACAAAAATGCTGAAATGTTAAATTTCTCCCATTCCCCCATAAAGCACCTGGAGACAAGCCGCTGTGCTGGGACACACCTGGTAGCTACCAAGGTCTCCTTCCAGTGTGCAGGGAGTCCCAGGGTCACTGCAAACTCCATCCCCCCCCACTCAGGACCATGTTTGCAGGAGCGCCTGTCCCCATTAACAGTGGCTCTTCCGTGGGTCGGAGGGCATCTCAGTTCTGCACATGGGTGACAGGCAGGGGAAGCTGCCGTGAAAAGCACCTGCAAGGGGTGAGGGGAAAAAACCCTCTTGTTCGTTTAAGAACAGCCAAGTTAGGACAGGAGATGGATCCTGGTAAGACCTTCCTACTACTTCATTAAGCAAATGGACCTGCTGAGTGGCAGGTTTAAGACTCTTTCGACCTCCAGGAAATATTGGGGTTTATTAGGTGATGATGGATTCTGTAACAAAGACGCCTGGGGCCCAAGGCTCCAGTCCAACGGAAAGCAAGATCAAAGGAGGACCGCAGCAGAGATGCCAGGATGCAACATCACGTGCGCGGATCTTCATCTGAGCTTTCCGCACCCGAGTCACTTCCATCCCAAATGCAAAGTGAAGTTCCCATCCCTGCTGGCTCCTGCATGGACCATGGGGGAGCTGCGCGGCCTCCCCTCCCCTGCGCCCACCCCGGGCACTTGCATGGGGGAGCTGTCCAGCTGCAAAAATGCTGAAGAGCTCTAGTTTTTTGTATGAAAAGCGGTGCTGAATTCAACAGGCACACGTAAGGAGCACTTTGTGAGCACTGGCCTGATGTCAAAGGTCCTTTTATGGAGAAATCACTGGAAATGTCCAGCTGGGACAATGGTTTGGGGAAAGAATATTGCCCCCCGCCCCCCGCCAAAAGCAAATGTGTGTCAACCGACACATTTTCAGATTTTGGGTCAATTTTGGGTCATAATTTCCAGCTAAAGGGAAAAAAAAAGTTAATAAAAAAGTGTTTGGGCACAACAGGCATTCAACATTTCCATATTTTTGGAAACAGAGAACATTTTCATTTGGAAACTGACTTCAAATTTTAATTAAAAAGTGTAAATGCTTTAAACCCATTCAAGGCAAGCTTTCAGGCACAAACATGCTTCTTCAGGCATGCTGGTGTAACACCAGCAGAGCCTCCCTATGCCTGGAGAAGGGAATTTGTAACCAAAAGCTTGCAAAGAACATTTTTTTCCAACTATTTAGTTAGTCTAATAAAAGATATCACATCTACCCAAAGAACCTTGCCTGCCTGTGCCCTTAGACCAACACGGCTACAAATCAACAACCCTTAGACCCATTCAATGCTTTGTTTGGCTCTAAGCAACAACGACGAGCATTAATGACATTATTTTACCTCTCGTTTCACTGAAAGTCTCGAGAAGTTTCCAGGTCAGCCTCCCAGGCCATGTGTGCCGGAGCCAGCTGCAACCAGCTCCAGCTCAAGGACCGCTCGGGCTGAGTCTGCAGTGCAATGGCAAGGGAACAGGCTTTCCTCACTCATTTGTCTCCTCCAACGCTGTTCTCCTTGGACTTGTGGGGAGCTGGTTGAGGCTGAATGCAGCTCACTCAGAGCCGCTGTAGGTTGTGTATGAAGCTGGAGAGTTTGGCATTTTTTCACAAGCTTTACTAGAGAGCACATTAGCTCCATTCCAGATGGAAACACCTGGCTGATGGCACATGTCACTCGGGACTTGGTCCCCTGCCCCCAGGCAGGTGTAGGGCCAAGCACTGCCCTTGTAACCCACAGCCGGCATTCCCTGCTAATACGCCTTCAACTCCGATCACTAGAGACCATCTCTAACACAAGAGCAGGGGCTCTTCTTGGCCTGGGCCCTGTTGCAATTGCCAAGGAGGGGGACACAAAAAAAGATGTGGCACTTTTGAGTATTATGCATATTATAACGGGAGCCTGCAGGTGATGCAAAGACAGCAGCCCCACTGCACTAGGTGCTGTACAGGCACTTAGCAAGAGCCAGTCCCTGCTGTGAGGAGCTTCCCTTCTTGAGGAGCAAGGCGGACAAGGACAGGTGAAAGAAAGGATTGCGAAGCCCATTGTACAGATGGGAAACTGAGGCATTACATGAGTTTGCCCGTGACAGAACAGGGGCCTGACCTAGGCTGGGCCCTTCCCACCATCTCATCTCACTGTTCCCTGATGAGCACCAATTTTTCCCCATTAGCTGCTCGGAGAGGGAAGAACAGGACACTGGATACAGCCAAGCCGGCCCTGCTCCAGCTCTCTGAGCACCTGCTGACTCATTACAACAAGGGCGTCCGGCCAGTTCGGGACTGGAGGACAACCACCAACGTGGCCATTGACGTCATGGTCTATGCCATTCTCAACGTGGTAAGTGCTCTGCTGCCTCAGCAGGTTTAACACCTCTGGGGCTGTCAAAGAGGTGGGGGGAGCAGGGTCTCCTGAGCCTGTGGAGAGGGGACGTGCATCATGTGGATGCATGAAGCTTTTCCCCATCCATACGTACAAGAAGAAGAGACACATCCTTCCTAGGATCTGGGGCAGCTGACAAAACCAAAGGGGAAGTCAGATTTTCCAGGGCCCAGAAGCCTACTTAGGCACCTCGATTCATGAGGGATTCACACGTGCCTAGCGCCTGGCCTGCTGAGATGGTGGGGTAACCAGGAGCTCCACACACCAGCTGCATTATTCAGCGCATCCCGTGGCAAGGCCCCAACCAGGCACAAGGCTGCTTTGCTGCAAGCAGCCATGCCCAGTGAGATGCCTCCTTATAGGGCTGGGCATCTCCACGGGGAGGGGGTGGGAGCAGCCCCAGGCATAGATAGCCCTTGGCTTTAGGATGGGCTGGCTCAGCTGCTAGAGCTGAGAGCATCTCTGCCCAGGGACTAGCCAGGGAATGGCCAGGCCAGAAGACAGGGAAAGCAGAGGAGCCTCCATGTGGGTCAGCAGGTGGGAATCCATCCTCCTGCTACCTGGTGATCCCCTCACCTGTATGTCTCTCCTCCTCCTGGGTGTTTGCCCGATGCTTGCTCCTATCCATGCCCTCCCTGCTGAATCCCGGTCCCCCGCTTCAGCAGCTGCAGACACCAATGTCCCTTTGACCGCTTCACATTTGCTTTTCTTTCCGTCCCCAGGATGAAAAGAATCAGGTGCTGACAACCTACATCTGGTACAGACAGGTGAGTGGAGGGGGGGGCCCTGCCTTGCTACCCCCTGCCATCTCTGCACCGGGACAGAGATCAACTTCTCCTCGTTATCAGGGAAACCTGCCCATGCCAAAACAGGGAATTCTCCTAAGAAGCAACGGGGCCCAGGGAGGTTTGCACAATCTCCCAGGGATCATAAGGCTCGTCCCCGTAACAACAGAGACACAACTGCCACAGGGCACAGCTCACTAGTGTCCCAGGACAGCAGACGTAGGTGGTCCAGGGAACACACGTGAAGGGGTCACATCCCTGTGTGGTGTAGCAAAGCCTAATCCATAACATGGGATGTGCTCCCATGAGGTTGGCTCTCCCATGCGATGCACAGCTGGGTGGGTGCAATCCCTGAGCACCCTGGCTTGACTTTGTCCCGGACACAGCGCTGGTAGGCATCTGCCAGAAGTAGGGCCCTCGGATTCATATGGGACTAGACCAATCCCCAGAGCTGACCTGCTCCCCGCTTCTCTCCCCCCTGCAGCACTGGATCGACGAGTTCCTCAAGTGGGACCCCGACAACTTTGATAACATCACGCAGGTGTCCCTGCCCACTGAGAGCATCTGGGTGCCCGACATCCTCATCAACGAGTTGTAAGTGCGGCGCGGCTGGCTCAGGGGCCCTCGGGAGCAAGCAGGGAGGGGCTGCCCCCTCCCCGATGCCCCCCGGCTCCCATTGGTATGCTCAGCACAGAGCTGGCTCCCGCTCCCTCGCGCCGGCAGGCTGCAGATGGGGAGCAGCTCGGGAGCTGGGACATTTCCAATGCTGGCGCACCATAAACATCCGTAATTACCCGCGCGGCACTCGGGGGATGAGGAGGGGCGGCTCGGCTGTTCTGAGGAAGGCTTTGTGGAGCAAACACAATGCTGGGGCAGCTGCAGAGCTGCCAGCCCTTCCTGGGGACGGGCTCCATTGTCTTCAATACTCCCCGGCCTGTTACGACGCAAGGAGCGTTTTGTTACCCCATGCATGAGCCATGCTTTAAACTTCCCAGATCTGCCTTTTGCATGGGGAGGTGTCCGCTGTAGTGAGAGACAGGGCTGCAGGACAGCACGGGGAAATCACAGCTGCTCCCTGGGGGCATGGTGGGTTTCCAAAGCAATGCCCAGCTACCATCCCACCCCCTTAGGGGAACATCCCACCCCCTAAGACTTTCCCGGGAGCGGTGAAAGGCCCAGCCTTTCCTCCCATTCACCCTGACCCCCAGTCTCAAATCAGCTTGGCTGATTTGAGCCCAGGGCATGGCTATGTCACTGGGGGATAGACTGGAGATGCGTCTAGCTCAGTTGTGTTACTCACTGCATTGGACATGGTGAAAGGGAGCAAGAGGCAGACATGGCTAGTGGGAAGGGGCAAAAAGGGGAATAATTGGTTATGGGAGAGGTTGACAAGGCCAAAGAGAGATTATGCTAGCAACCTGCCGATTCACAAGCTCGCAGGGGGCTTCAGGGTAGGGGCAGGAGAGGCAGCCAATGCCTTGTATAGGGCTCACTGCAGGGTTCAGCGGCAGAAATAGGTCCTATCCAGTCTCAAGCTGATCCTGAGCCCCAGCTATCCCCTGGGAGACTGAGGGCTGCCCCTCCTGGGCTGGTCCCTGCCAGCACCTCGGTTAGAGACGCCCCAGGCAGTGCTGCCCTCCAGACAGAAGAAAACGGGCATCTGGGGGGGTGCGGGGTTTGCTTTCCCCTGACGGTGATGCCTTCCTCTGTGACCTTCAGCGTCGACGTGGGCAAGTCCCCCGACATCCCCTACGTGTATGTCCTGCACCAAGGGGAGGTGCAGAACCTCAAGCCCATCCAGGTGGTGACCGCCTGCAGCCTGGACATCTACAACTTCCCCTTCGACGTGCAGAACTGCTCGCTCACCTTCACCAGTTGGCTGCACAACAGTACGTGACGGGCCATCGCCTCCCTTTGCCAGACTTGTGGAGGGGGGCAGGGACCAGGCCAGCAGAGAAAGCTAGTAGGACCTGGGTGAGGAACCCAAAACTGGGTTCCCAAAGAAAGCCCCACTGCAGGGCAGTCAGCACTTCAGAGTGGGAAGCCACTAGCTGCTTCCAGGGAGGAAGTATCCTCAGGGTGTGGGTGAGCAGGTGCTGTCCTAATCGCTCCCCTCTCCTCCTCCTTGCAGTCCAGGACATCAACCTCTCGCTGTGGCGGCATCCTGATCAGGTGAAGTTCGACCGCAGCGTCTTCCTGAACCAGGGGGAATGGGAGCTGCTCTGCGTGCTCAGCCACTTCCGCGAGTTCAGCGTCCAGGGCAGCGACAGCTACCCCGAGATGAAGTTCTACGTAAGGGCCCTTCGGGCAGTGGGGCAGGGAGGGGCTGAGGGGGCGGATGCCATCACCTCCTCTCGGCTTGGGCCACTGCCCTCCTGGCTCTGGAGAGATGCTGGGGTCTGCTCAGCAGACCCTGGCATGCATGCCCAGCTCTGCCCCTAGCACACTGGAGAGACCAGAGACTGCCGCAGAGAAGGTCAAGACCCAAGACGCGTGCACAGAGCTGGCAGGGATGATGCTGGTTTGACTCCGATGAGCTTTTATCCTCAGATAGGGGCTCAGGACCAGAGCCAGGACACCCCCCTCAAGGCAGGCCAGCAAATCACAGGGATCAGCTAGGTAGGGCCCTTACAAGGCCAGCTGGTCCAGCCCTGGCGTCTGCTTGACATACAGTTAAAACCGTGGGGTGCTGGAGATCCCAGCAGAAAATCCATCCCATGATGCCTTCCCCATGCAGTGAAAAGGGTCTCCCTTCCCTTCCTCCTCTCTCCTGCCTCTATCGCAGTGTGTCGAGGGTTAAGAGTCTGCAGCCCAGCACCAAGGACACCAGCCACTGCCAGTGCACAGCTTCACTAGCTCTTTATTGGACACTGATGACTGTCAAAGACTCAGGAGGCTCCCAGAGGGAAGGCAGGGCAGAGCGATACAGATGCTGCCTTTGCACCTGGAAATCCAGGAAAGCTGAGCTGCAGACCCTTGCCCCATGCCCAGCACCTGGGCCCCTTCTCTTAGATGGTTTCAGCTCCACAGATGCTCTCCTGGGTCAAGGCCAGAGTTGGGTGCACGCTTTGGCGGGTCTTGAGTTAAAGGTGCTTATCCTAATGAGACAAGAGCCCAGGTACTGACATGGCAGCAGCTGGAGAGGAGAAAGCAAGGTGAGCGGGGCTTGATCCTGAGGGATAGAGGAGTTCATCATCCAGGGATGCTCTTGTTGAGAAAGGGCCCTAATGGAGCTGGTAGAGACAGGCCGCCTCTGGCCTCCGTCACCAGCTCCTCCTGCCTCCTTCCTCTGTACTCGCAGGTCGTTATCCGGAGACGCCCTCTCTTCTATGCCGTCAGCTTGCTGCTCCCCAGCATCTTCCTCATGGTCATGGACATTGTGGGCTTCTACCTGCCTCCAGACTGCGGCGAGAGGGTCTCCTTCAAGATCACCCTGCTGCTGGGTTATTCCGTCTTCCTGATCATCGTGTCCGACACGCTGCCAGCCACTGCCATTGGCACCCCGCTCATAGGTACGGCGGGGCCAAGGCCACCAAGGGGCACAGCCCATCCAGTGCCCATCTCCTTCAGACTCTAGAGGCAGGAGGAGGCTGGGGGGTGATGGAGAGCGGGCAGATAAGCCCAGGGACTGGAGCTACTGGTACAGTAATCCATTAGGGAGAAGGTGGGAACAGTAACAGCTGTGGGTAGAGCTGGGCATTGCAGGGGGTACTGGTCATGGGGCTGGAAGAACTGGGCTGCCACAAGGCAGGAGATAGGGGTGCGGGGAGCTTGGCCAGCCGGTGCTGCCTGCTAGCCCGAGCCAAACACTCATGCCCCTGTCACCCTCTGGCAGGCATCTACTTCATCGTGTGCATGGCCCTGCTCGTCCTCAGCCTGACCGAGACCATCCTGATCGTGCGGTTGGTGCACAAGCAGGACCTGCAGCCCCACGTCCCTGACTGGGTCAAGTGGCTGGTGCTGGACCGAGCCACCGTCCTGCTCTGCTGCCGTGACAGGAAGCAGTTCAGCCCCATGTGGGCGCAGAGAGCCGAGAGCACCCGGCACTTGGAGAGCAATGACAGCTCAAGTAAGAGCAGGGGTGGGGGAGGCCCCGGGGCACTGGGAAAAGGGGACCGAGATGCCAGGAGCTGGGCTCCAAGCCGGCTTAATGGCCTGTTGCCAGAACCTGCAAGGCAGCAAGGAGCTGCCCAGGCCCCTGGCTCTCTCCCAGGGAGGTTGGACTGAGCGACAGAGCAGGTGCTGGGGGGGCTCAGCTTTGACCCACATCCCAGCTTAGCACATGGAAGGTAACACACCCCAAACAGCAGGTGTGTTACCTGGTGACACACAGGCAGGTCCTGGGTCTCCCTGAAGCAAGTCCCCTTCATCTACAACGGCAACAGCTGGGTGTAGGGGGGCACCGGGCTTGGCTGCGGGCTGGTTCCCAGTGCTCCCAGAGCATCAAGCCTTGAATCTGGGCGGTGGAAGACTGAGGCTGACATTGTCCCCAATATCAGCTCTCAGCCAGGCACAAGGGAAGGAGGGAGGGGGCACAGCCCTGCAGAGCAGGCCATGCTGCTACCTGCAGGCCCCACTTCAAGCAACTCTTGGGCCCACAGCCAAGCTGAACCACTACAGCGGCGAGATCCCCCAGGAGTACGAGGGGGCAGGGGGCATGAGGCCCATGCTGACCACCCTGGCCCGCGGGGAGAGCCCAGCCATGATGCACAGCATCCTCCAGGAGATCATTTCCATCCGCCACTTCCTGGAGAAGCGGGATGCTTCCCGCGCCATCGCCTGCGAGTGGCTGCAGGTGGGCTACGTGCTGGATGCCCTGCTCTTCCGCGCTTACCTGGTGGCCGTGCTGGCCTACAGTGTCACACTGGGCACGCTCTGGTCCATCTGGCAGTATGCCTGAGCCGTGCCGGCAGCAGGGATGGGGTGCTCCGAGGCTGAAGCTTCAACAGGGGGACTCTTGGTCCTTGGACTCACCTGCGTATCGTGACCCAGGACCTCAGGTGGGCAGGCTGATCACTCCGAGCTGGCTCAGGATTGAGTCTCAGCTGGCCTCCAGAGGCAATAGCTGGGGAAGGATGACCAGGTGCTGGTTAATTCCTCACCAGGACTAAACCTTTGCCTCGCCCCATTTCCAATCCCTGAGGAACTCCTTCCCCATTCTCCTGCTCCCTGCACACTCCCCCACTCACCCTCCATGGCTGACCCATCACTCCCCTCCCTCTGGACATCCCCGGGTAGAGGCTGGCATCTCCCTACACCCCACTGCAGCACCAGTCTCTGCCCAGAGCTTATGGCTGGGGGTCCACCTACCCTGCCCCCCTGCATGGCACCTCTGCACCTTGCTGGTTCCTCTGAGACCCATGCCAATCCATATGCCTTTCCAAGCCTGCCCTTGAATGAGCACAATTGCTGCCAGGCTTCATTTGCTTAATGCCTCTCTCTAGGTGGCTGTCAAGGATGCTCCCAGGCCCCTTGACAGCCCAGTTAGTTGTTCCCCAGCACCTGGTGTGCTATGATGCCTTTAAGTGTCGCACCTGAAACGCCCTGGAATGCAAAACCTCTCCTTTGCCCCAGCCCAGGACATGGCACCAAATAAAGTGGGTTTAACTACACCGATGGGAGCAGAGCTTTCGTGCAGCTGCCTGCAGGGCTGGGATAGCCCCAGGAAGGGATGCCACAGCGTGGTCAGCCTGTTGAAGGCACCGGGGAGGCAGTCAGGGCTGGCTGGACTCCGCTAAGTCACGCTCAGTGCTCTTGAGCAGTCCGGCTCTGGGCCCATTCCTGGAGTGTTCAGCACCATGGACAGAGCCCGCAGCCACCAACCCTCGCCCGAGCTCCCATGTCCGTGGCACCCGCTGTGGCTGCAACATGGCTCTTCTGGGTCAGGACTTACCCTCGAGCTCCTTCCCCAGAGCCCAAGTCAGGCCGAGGCCTGTGCACTGGTGCATAGCGCAGCTGGGCTGAAGGCAGGCGAGCAGGAACCCTGCCATGCCCTGTGGTTGTGCAGCACTCAGCACGGTGGCGTCCTGCCTGGGACTGTACTTCTGTGGCCCTTGGCAGCCTGTCCGTGGCTCTGGGGCACTGGCCACAGGACCCATCCGACTATCCCTAATCCTGTTTCCTCCCCGCTCTGCACCCCCTGGCCATGTTGTGGGGCCGGCAGCCCTCCCTGCCGAGTGAGCAGGTGTCTGTGCCGGCGTTTCTGTGGCAACGAGAGCCAGGGGACCATGCGGCGCACAAGGCTGGAGGCTGGAGAGTTTGGATGCTAACTGGTGTCAGCGCCGCGGTGGCACTTGCCATGCTGCCTGCCTGCCCCCACACGTCCCCACTGCTCCCCCATCTGCCCTCACAGCAGGCCCCAGGATGCACCACCTGTGCTGGTGCAGAGATGTGCTCTCTCACCTGGACTCACGGGTCTTGCTGCTTCCTTCTGAAGTCCTCATGCCAGCATCCCTGGAGCTCCCCCCATGGGCTCCAGATGCCTTGGTTCACCTGTGGTGGAGACGAGGGCAGAGAGAGGCCCGTCTACTCCAGAACCAGCCTGAAGACAAGGCCTAATTCTTATGGGCCCAGAAATGCTGCGTCTCGGGCATCTGTCGGTCACTTCTGGAGGCCCCGGGGACTAGGCCAGGGGCTTGTCCCTTCCTGCACTGGGGACCTGCTTCTCCTTTCCCCAGCCCTGTGCCTGATTCTCCCTCATAGGCCTCTCCCAGAGCCAGGCATCACACAAGGCTTCATTTAATTTCTTTAACTCACCTGCCCATCCTGAATACTTGCCCAGTGGGTCCCTCCAGGGCCCGGCTCAGCCGCTCAGGCTTGGAGAAGGATGAGGGGAGTGATGGCAGCCCTGACTTCAGACCTCACTCACTTCTGGGGCAACAGGATTCCCCATGGCCATGTCATCCCCTGGCCAGTGCAGGCTCCCTCCTCAGGTTATCCCTTTCACCACCCCACCGAGCTCTGTCTTGCCACCTCCTCCAGGGACAGAGACATGAGACTGCTTGGTATTCACAGTGAGGAGCCCCTTCCCTTATGCACACCAGCCTGGGGGAGCAAGGGGGCCAGGGACTGGTGACCCAGATACCTGCCTCATACTGATGGTGGTTTACCTGAGTCCCCAAAGAAAGAGCAGTCACTGTTCCAAGGAGGCTGGAGATGAGGGGAACCACCCCTTCCCATGCAAGCATCGTGGCAGCAGGCACAGGCTGAGAGGACATCATAGCAGGACCTGCTGGATAACAAAGCTTCGGTACAATCTTCTCCCTGCTCACCCAAGCCAGGGGCGGCTGCATACCACCAAGGGACAAGACGGGTGGGCAGAAGGCAGCACAGGAGTAGGCAATGCCTTGTCCCTCCTGCCCCAGGTCTGTCTGCACCTTCATTGCCAAGGGCTCAACCCTTTCTGCATTGGGGACCTGCTTTGCGTTCTCCTCCAGCCCTCTTCCTTGCTCTCAGCCTGGGCCTGGGCCTCTTTCTCCCTCATGGGCCTCTGCCATCAGAGCCAGGCACCATCAAGGCTTCATCTCATTCTCTTTCTCCACCAGCTCATCCCACACACTTGGCCAGTGGATCAGGCTGGTGCCTCCTTGCCCCCCAGCTCCAGGGTCCATGCATGCCTTTCCTATGAGCAGCCCACACTGCTCATAGGAGAGGCACTAGCCCAGGGGAGCCAGAAGGAAGCCTCTGCCTGGCTGGGTAGTGAGGAGTATGGCTTGTGCTCAGCTAGGACGTCCCTCTCCTTGCTCCAGAGTTCTGGCTACAGGCCAGGACTTCACGTCCTCCCAGAGCTTTCACCTGCAGGAAAACTCCTGGCTGAATGACAGCCGGGCAGTGGGATGAGGCGGGTGGGATCCTGGCAGCTCAGGCCCGTGCTAATGCACTGATGGTCTGTAAGTGGCCAGCTATTGATGAGGTGTCCAGTTAAAGAGTTAGTAAGACACTAAATCAGCCCATTGATCCCCAGGAGATCGATGGTGCTACAGACCTGATCACTGCAATGGGCAATTAACATCCTCTGGAATGAGCTGCCTTCATGTAACATCAAACGCTTCAACAGACAAATCCGATCGGGCCATTGAGCTGGCCCCTCCAACGTCTCCCAGGTCAGGGATGACACAGCTGCGTGTGGCACCCACCCACGGACCCTACTCCACCCGCCTTTGTCTACAAGGAAAGCCCAGAGCGGGTGGGTGGGCTTGGGCCCCGGTGGAGGAAACCCTCTGGATGATCAAGGACAGCACCCATCATTCGCCCAGACCACATGGCTGCCACCACAGGCAACAGGATCAGGGCCCACCGGTCTGGCTCCGCATGCCTCGCACCTGCCACCCGTGTGGGGTGGGTTGCAGCCCTCTCGGACACACTGTTCACCTGTGTCTGATCGAGAAAAGCCCATAACAGGCCCAGGGACATCAGGTTGGTTAGGAAAGCCTGGCACTGTCATGCTGCCCCCAGGCCAGCCCCTAGATGTGCTTCCTCAGCCTTCTCCCAGCCGAAGGCCAGTGCTGTGCCAGCCCCATCTCTGCCTCTGGAGAGCACCCTGGGAGGCTGTGATAGCTGGGGCAGAGCATACCCTGCTCTGGGGCCTACAGCAAGGCAAGGAGGGGCTCTGACCACGGTCCACACTGCCCTGCACATCCCCCCGTGCTTGCATCTCTATGCAGCCAGCCAGCAGAGCTGCAGCTGCAGCTGGGGCATGATGCTTGCCCTGATGGAGAGGGAGACTGAGGCCCAGCTGGCTTGGGAGGAGCTCGCAGTCAGACCTGTGTCCTGTAACAGTCTGTCCACCCAGGGACACAGGGATACACCAAGGCCTTCCTCCCTCCTTCTCTCATGTCCTGGGATCTTCTCCCAGCAGCCCCAGCCCCTTCTTCTTGCTGCCTGGCACTCTGAGCAGCACAGAGGCCATGGATACAAACGATGGCCCCGACTGCCCCAGTTGCAGCCGCAGCCCCTCCAGAGCAGCTCTTCTGAGGGGAAGATCTCTAACATCCAATGCACCCCTCTGCTGCCTCCCCCAGGGCCTTTCCCCTCCCTTTCTAACCACTAGTCCCACTCCCTAGGTCCCAGCCCCCTCATCCTAACTGCTTGCTCCATACCAAGCTGTCCGCGCATGCTCCGACTTTCTTCTCAGACCCCCTCCCCACCTCACCCACCACCGACTCAGCCACCAGCTCTCCAACTCTCCTGCTTCCTTTTCCCATGCCGGAGGGGATAATGGCTCCAACCTGCCTTTTCAAATCTCAGGCTGCAGCAGTGGTGGGATGCGAGTGGCAATGCAGGGATTCAAACCCAGGCCTCGGCAGCCTCCATGCCCACTGAGCCCCTGTCTCCCCTGCAGTGAGGGGTATGCATTCCTGAAACACTGGCCCCTCCTGGAAGCTCTTACCACCAGACAGGCCCGTGCTGGGAAGCCAAGCCCTCCATCATCCACGGGATCCCAGGAAACTTTCCCCCTCCTGTGCGGTCTGAAAAAGTTGGGAGTTGGGGGAAGTTCGAGGGGCCGCCCCGACACCGCCAGCCTGGAAAGAAAGGGGGGGAAAAAAATCAATAAATCTGAATCTAATCTACTAATAAAGGTTTAATGAGGACATAATGTTGATGGAACAGAACATTGTCGCAGAATAATCACTCCCAGCTGCTCTGTGAATGCGCAGACAAAGCCCTGCTCCGGTGACAATTTCCCTATTATAACAACTTCCTTTGTACTAGGCCAAATGCGCCGGGAAGATTTCGTCTCTTGCCACGGGGGCTGCTGGAGCAGTGGCTCAAACAGGACCTACTCCAGGGGACATTGCCCACAAGCCCCATAGAGGGCTGGGCTTGGACCAGCCTCCGCTCACCTGGGAGGCTTAAGCTGAGCCTGCATTGGCCAAGGCTGACTGGGAGCCACTGAGCTGC